AGGGGGGGGGGGGTACCGAAGCGGGTCTCAAGTGGAAATCATCCAGTTTGTTGAAGTTGTCCTGGATGACCTTGTCAAGGAAGTCAATGAATGGAGATTGGCTTGCATTGCCCTCCACTTGCACCTTCGACTCAGTTCAATTCAATTGTACAAAATAAAACCAGGCAAAAGAACTCACCTAGGCAAACCATGAAACACTTGCAACATGGTGGAGATGTACCAGCCAGCCGGAGCAGGCCATGCATGGGGATGACCTTCAAAGGTGCGTAAGCATGGTCACATGTGGCACCACCAATGAGGAAGAAGATTCGAGGTGATATCTGACGAATCGATCAAGTCGGTGGTGGTGGCGCTTCACCTTGAATCAGGCGACGGAGACGACCGGCAAATGGCTAGGACTCGAGTAGAAGGGCGGCGAGGTAGCGGCGGAGGTGGTGGATAGTCGCTGGGAGGTGCAGCAGCGACGAAGCAGTGGGGGGGGGGAGGTGGAAAAGTGACCGTAAATTTTACTCAGCCGGATCGAGGTGTTGTTAGGTGTCCGCAGGGCCAAGGAGTAAATTTTTTACTTAACTAGACAGTTTATGAGTTCGGCTAGTGCTGGTTAGAGGAGTAAACTGCAAATTTTACTTCTCTAACCGGATTTAGAGGATCCGCTAGAGATGCCCTAATCTAAGCTGGAGTGAATGCTCCCTAGCTCTCGTCACTACACTAGTACGTAGTCTCCATTGAGCACGCTGTAGAGAAAGCCATAGATGGACATAGCCTCACTCCCCATCCTGTCGCCCACGGCAGCGAGAGCCACCACTACTTGATCGACACGCCGTCACGGTTCTCATTTCCGATGATAAGCCACCGCTGCTTCATTCTTATGCGGCAGTGCTCGACGTCTCCTTTCCTTCAGTGTTGGAGGACGGGGCAGCTCCGACTGTTCAGTTTTAACTGAACACAAATATCTTCAACGTCCTTGCGACAGCGTTGACATGAGTACGTGACCGTAAACCTCTTTATAATCCATGGCATCCCCGAAAAGATGTATTGCCAGCTCCTTGTAGTCCTCTCCTCTTCATCAAGATCGTCCAGGACAAGACTTGGGTACTATCTCTCTCTAGCTACAAATTTACTTTGCCATTGCATTTGAACAACCATATATATAGTTAGTACTTCAATTCATATTACAAGTTACAAATAAATAACAAAGGAATTGCCATGTTCTCCGTCACACATCGTTTTGCCATAACAAAATGCTAGGTTTAAGAAGATATACTGTAAATAAGCTGGCTAGGGATAGTAAATATAATCTCTCCACCAAAACATGCTTCAGTGGGGAACTAGAAATACAGGATATGATACACACAAACTGACATCACTCAAGGCTTAGATTTTGCTCTGCCTTGATACATAGCACACAACAGGCTCATATTTATTTTCCTTGCACTCCTTCAACAGCATGTTCTCACGCAAGCCACCACCCTTCGCCTTTGTGCCCTCCTAGTGCCAACCAGGCTAGACAAATGAAAAAAGTTAATGAGATGAAGGATGTAAACATATTTTTTCAGAAGCAACATAGGGAGATTAACATGCTGCAGGTACCCAAGTATAATTTCTAAAGAACAGATGCCGTGCGCACAATAATTGAGTTACCAGTCGTTGCACATACCAGTGATTGAAAGAGTGGCTGCTGAATTTCGTTTAGACCGGACACACTGTTAAGTTCCTCTCCCCATGTAATCGGTGCCAAGTTCTGATCTCATTAGCAGCAGTGCCAACCAGGCTAGACAAATGAAAAAGGTTAATGAGCTCAAAGGTCCAAATCTATTTTTTTTAGGGAGCTATCTCTAAGGATAAATTCTAAATAGCAAATGGTGTCCATGTACATACCAGCGACAGAGGGGCTGTTGTATCTCATTGAGCGCGGGACACTCCTGTATATTCACTTTCTTTATTTTGTCAACAGCTGCTGCACCACCGATGGACTTGAGGCCTCGACAGTTCTTAATGCTAAGTACCTCCAGTAATGGAGAACTTCCCAACTGGCTATTGGCGAGGTTGATGGATTCTATGCCGTCACAAGTCGATAAATAGAGCTGCTTAAGAGAGGATGGTAATATCATTACCCTCTGCGAATTCAACTTGAAATAGCAATCTGAAATGTCCAGTTTCTGCAACCAGGCGAGCCTATCAACAAAGAGGGACATCAACATTCTACAATCAGAAACCGCGACGATCTTCACAGCAGGTACACAATCTGGCTTCAGCAATTCATCAAAGGTCAATAATTTGCAGCACCTCTCAATACGTATCTTAGCAAGAGATGAGAATCCTGTAACACTGCTGCTGCTGTTACTTGCTTCAGAGACTATTGAAGAAAGGTTTTCACAAGAACGAATATCTAGTTCCTCCAGAGATGGAAGATTGCTTCTCCACACGTGCAGGGGAATAGATGTTAAGGATTCACAGTTCTTTATATTTAAAAAAGTGAGGGAAGTGAGGTCAATGAAGCTGCTCACCAAGTGATCCATGGAATAGCCCGAATTATGAAGGACTAGCTTTCTAAGAGAAGTAGGTAAGACCACCGAGCCTTGCCAATTGATTCGACTACAACCCATTATGATCAACTCTTCAAGACGATTGACGTTGTCTGAACAAGCTGTATTGTCAAGTGACCTCTCTAACGGGAGAAAGAATGGAATGCTCTTCAAGTGGTGACACATATAAAATCCAAGGAGACTTAGCCTTGGTAGGAGGTTGGGCTGGAGCCAGCTAGGATAAGATTCGCCTCCGTAAAAGTCTACATTCAAATGTTGGAGCTTCCAGTGAGGTAACATTTCGATCTGATTTTCCATCATCTTCATCGTCTTCATACAGAGCCATTTTAGGCAGAGCTTGCCAGAGTTGTCCTTGTTATAAGAAAGCCCCTTTGAATTGATTTTCTCTAAGCTGAGGATATCACTGAAGCCTGGAGGAAACCTTTCAATCACACAGCTGCGACAGTCTATAACTTTGAGATGATGCAGATGGCAAACTGATGAAGGGAGTGTGCTGAAAGTAGAAGTTCCATGTAAACCTAGGTAACGCAGATGCTTTGAGTTGCCCATGCTCTCAGGTAGCTGTCCTCCTTTGGAAAGTTTAAAACTCAATACACGGATTTTCAATAGTTCCTTGAACCAATAGTTTACCACAGGCTCAAAATCTTTTGATTTGCTATATGATTCATCACACACTAGAGACCTCAAATTTTTCTTGCTACATATGTTCTTCAATTCAGAACACTTAACATCTCCGTTTGTGAATATTGACAGATGACGGACTTTTGAAGGAACTTTATCAAGGTCACTAGCATGCTTTATAATGAAGCACTCATCCTTTGAGACTAGTTGTGCCGTATCATGCATCAGATCATGAATGACATACTTAACACTGTGCGGCGATGCTTTCTGAAAGAATGAACGATTTGCAAGGGCTTCAAAGCACAGTGATGCTTCTTTGGGCCCCGACGCATATCCTTGTGCAATCCAAATATCAGCTAGAAAATCCTTCACAAATTTGTGATCCTTGGGAAACATTGCACAAATTGAGAAGCATCTCTTCAATTTCTGTGGTAGGTACATATAGCTCAGTCGAAGGGCTGGCAGAATATCAGTCTCCGTTTGTTCAAGTTGCCAGAGTTCACTCTCCATTATATTTTTCCAATGTGTTGTACTTAGATCCATTCTCAGCAAGCGTCCAATAGTCTTGGCAGCCAATGGGGAGCCCTTCAGCTTTGGAACAATTTTCTCACCAATGCACTCCAGTGACTCCCGGTTGTTGCAAGCATTTGTGGATCCAAATGCACAAGATTTGAATAGATCCCAGAATACCCCAGCTTGTAAGCCCTTTAACTCATAAATATTCATAAGGCTAACTAGCTTAGCAACCTCGGGAGATCTAGTGGTGACCAAAATCCTACTTCCTTCAGCACCATATTTTAAAGATGCACAAAAACTGTTCCATCCCACCCCATGATCCTTCAAGACATCATCCCACATGTCATCAAGGACAAGTAAAAACTTTTTGGACTTGACACAGCCTTTTAGTTTTCTCTCAAGAACATTCAGATTATTAGATGACGCATCACCTCCAAGGTGCTCTATAATCTCTTTCATTAACCTTTTAATGTCAAAGTCATCTGAAACACATGTCCAAATTATATTTTTGGGGCCAAAATCTGTCTTTACATTTGTATCCTTGCATATGTGTTGGGCCATTGTTGTCTTTCCAACACCTCCCATCCCAATAATTGACAAAACAGGCAACTCTGTCATTCTTGCTTTGCTTTCAGTCCTTTCCCTCTTTGGGGCACGAACTCCTAGTGTTTCAACCAACTTCTTCAATTCTTTTTTGCGACCAAACATTTTTCCCTCATTAAAGCTGGAAGTTGTTTCTGGCCTAACTGATTTATCAAACTTCAGTTGCGCTTGGTGCAAGCCCATTTCCATGGACTGCTTATGGACATGATCTAGGTTTTTCTGAACTCTGTTGACTTTTCTGATGTAACCATTGGATCTGACACTGTCGTAGAATCCCAGACAGGTATCATGCAATTGATCTGGCCCCAAATTCTTGCTGCACTCAAGTTTCCACTTGAGTGCGTCGTAATCAAGCTCATCAAGCAGGTCCTCCGCTTCGAAGACTGCATTCTTGATATGCGGGAGGAGATCAGCCGCTTGTTTCTTATGGCTTTGGTACTCGACCCGATCAATGAGGTCAAGCATCTTGGGCATTGTTGTCTCCAGCTTCCAAAGATCATCCTTCAGCCGCTCAATTTGCCCTTCAGTCTTGTCTTCATCTGGCAACTCTGAGGTGTTCCGTAAAGAACGAGTGGCCGTTATAACTGATGCCGTCCAACTGAAGAATTCACGACATGCATTAACATTGGAAAGCACCCCAGCATACTCATTGAATATTGCCAAAGCCATGGCTATAACTTAGCACTGTTGAAATCCTATAAACAACATTAAGCTTAGTTCAAAGAGTCTGACATCAAAAACAGGCAATCATCTAGAATAGGAAGAGACGGCATGAAGATTAAATTACCTTGTTTATTTGCTGATTTGATGATTTGATGGCCTGTTGGTGGAGAGATGCTTCTTATTTGTATTTGGTCAGTGAGTGACCGTGGGGATCCACTCCGGCCGAAATAAAGGCAATGGCGATGCGTACGCTGCTGATCTCACATGCCTGCTGGTGTATTTCTGCAGTTACGTTGTTTTAAATGGCGGGCTATACCATTTAGCGGAGCCTTGTACAGAAACTATGAAAAGCTATAGCTGAAGCTATGCCTCATTTAGGGTTTTCCTTAAATCAAGAAGAATTGAAAATATAAGTATACGCTCAGGCATCATATATGATATATTGCATATACTTGACATATACACATGTTCGCATATCAAAACCCTAACACGAATTAGGTATCCTAATTCAATAACCAAGTTCACATCAATGCATCATATATATCATAAGCAAGAACAAAAAAAAAATCATGGTTCTGTATAGCGGGTTAGCGGGCTAAATGACTCCAAATTTAGCGCCATAGCGGGAAATAGCGGGCTATTAGCGTCATTTTTCATTTAGCGTTAAAAGTGTATAGCTTTAGCAGGAGAGCTCTCAAAGGCTATAGCGGAGCTATAGCCAGCTATTTAAAACGTTGGGGCAAACGTGTCATGTCTCAACTAGTAAGCACCAAAATGTAATAGTGTCAAATATCATTTTGGGATGGAGGGAGTACAACATATACAGCTATATTATATATACTTATTGAAGGGAAGCATTCCTCTTTGCACTAAGCCCATCTCCTGATTGCCTCGTTTCACGTTTTAGCCCACGTACCAGATAGACTGTAAAGGACAGACCTGCTAGAATCTCCCCAGTTACTCAAACAAAAAATGCTAGAATCTCCCACATCAGGTGCGGTCTCAGGAAAGATTATACGAGGCAAGTCATACCCCTGCAGAGTGCAATGCTGAGAGATTGCGTCAAACCAAGGACCTCTTGGCACAGGTGAGGAGTACTTCACCACTGCCCCACCCCAGGCATGTCCTTCATGCCAGATAGACAGTAATGACAAAAAAAGAATATGCATGAAAACCCAGTGGCAAAAAAGTCTAATACTCCTTAATGAAAATGCAGAGAAGAACCTATTTTCTTCATGACTATAGTATATGTTATTTAAATAGAAAATCAAACTTACATATTTCATATCATTAGAGGTCAGCCCAATAAAAGCCAAGTCAGTGTGAAGTTTCCATTTGCTGTTTTTGGTGTGGTGGGTGGGGGATTAAGAAATAAGTCAAATAGGTAAGGTTAACAAGGTACCACTTAGTATTACTCCTATAAAGGATGGCGGAGTACCCACCTCCTTGGGCTCTCCACGGGCGAGCAGCGCCTCTTCGCCATCCGTTGACCGCTGGTGTGCCGCTGGAGCCACCCTCGGCCAACACAAGACGTCCGATCTGCCCGTACTATTCGTGCCCAGGTGATTTGGTTGGGAGGTCCATGATGGGTGGACCTCGTGCCAGCCCGGGGCCATCGTCATTGGGCGGAGGCTGTCGTGCACCCTCCTGCACGCCATGGGCTAGCCAAGCCCGGCTGGTGGCGTCTGCCCGGACGGCTCGCCCACGGGGGACCCACCTGGGTGGGTCCATGACGGGTGGACCGCCGAGCGCGCCCAGGACCACCTTCAGTGTGCTGCATTGGGTGTGTTCGCACCTACTCGCGAAGTCCTGGCCGATCCCACCTGGCTGCGTCTTAGCATCAGCTAGTTGGTTTTGGCCGTGATCCGATTTGCCTGGACAGGTAGGACCCAAAGGAGTCGGCTAGGAGGACCATGACAGGTGGACAGGCCGGGTCCACTGTCATTGCGTGGCGTCGAGCGTGCCTGCAGGTGAGGAACGATGCTATTTCTTGCGCGGGAAGACGTGCCCGGACCCGCCTGGCGGTGTCTTTCCTGCTGCCGCTGACGAACGGCGTGTTTTGCTAGTCGGGTGGTGTGCTTGAGGGAATATAATAATTTGGTAATAATTTTTGGTTAGTTCGAAAAAAAGCCCTAGATAAGTCACTTACCTATGGCCTTTTCCCTATGGTGTGACCGGCTCGTGTGTCTTGGTCGTCTGTTGGAAAGAGCGCTCGTCCTGCAGCTTGAATAGAGGTTGGTCTCATGGCGCATGCATAAGGACGAGTCTACTCGGTCAATACCCAGGCTTGGAATGATCGAGTTGTATGTCATGGTTTGCACTATAGCCTAGGTGTATGGATGGAACATGCCGAGTGAATTCGTCAAATACTATTTCATATGGCCACCTACGCTACAGCGAACGGAGTATCAATCGTTGTTCAAGGCGGTGTGTATGCGGTTGGAGCGGGTGGCCAGGCATGTTTTTACCCAACATGGGTGGCAACATAATCTTTGGATCGGTCCACCTCCCCCGTCGACATTGGCATAGTTTTGGACTCATATGGCTTTACTGTTGCCAACTTGTCGTTTTTTTTAATACATATTTTGCTAGACTCTTCGTTAAGGCTGTGTGCATCTTAGCTATGCAGAGGCCGAGTGTCGCTCATTATGTTTTGTATCCACTTCATGCTGCATTATGAGTTAATAAAAACGCTCTTTATCGAAAAATATGGCCACCTACCATGACTGTGTAAAAATAGTCGGGTGTAATCAGCGCGCGTCCTTGGAAAAGTTGTACGACGAACATTGGTCGGGCGTTATCTCCGGTTGTGCTGGCCCCTCTTGTCCTAGAGCTTGAACAGTGGTTGGTCTCGTGGCACTCGCAAAATGGAGTCTACTCGGTGCAGGACGACACCCTATTCGCACTAGAAGCACTCAATTCCAATCATTTTTAGGGAAATCCTTAGGCTTTTTGTTTGACCCGATCTCATTTCAATCAAATTGATCCTAACTTTGATTGTTTTATATGTAATCCTTGTGCTTTTGTTGATGTATCCATTCAACTTTCTCTATTGGTGACGTAAATAAAAAGCACCAGGTTCAGGTCAACTTGCCTTTGTATCCCTGATAGAAACGCAATGTGAGGCGGACGACATGCAATCAGTAGAGAAATCACGGCACAGTCCGCGAGGCGCCGCCTAACAGAACACAAGTAAAAGTAATCCCACCGTTTTCCGCGTATGAAGCACGGCTGATCTGCTGCTTTTTTACATTGCCGTGTTTCAAGATGCTTATCCTCCAATCTTTAAAGGTGTATCGATACCATACAGGAAGTCCACATAATGTGAATATCGTGCAGACATAATGGCGTTCCGCTGTGTCGAGAGGAACTATATCTTCAGGGACAAGTGGGTGTAGTCGCGAGGGGTTTGCTGACCGGCTATGCATGTGTATGCTCGAGTGCGAACCTTTCCATGGTACAAACGGTTATTTGAGTCCCATAGAGGCTATGGCATGTCAGTATCGCTTAGCATCTCGGAATGCTCGTGCCAAATAAGCTTGATCTGCGCACTAAGGCGACCGCTTTTCGAAGTACTTCTCCATTAACCTTGAAGGAAGGCCGAGAATGAATCCACTGAAGGAGGTGTCCTTGTCGGGCGTAGCCATGGGAAGCCGCCGTTGACGAGCCATCACCACCATTACTTCCGTAACCACCACCTGTTCTTCCTTTCCCATCTCCATGATAGAAACCGAACAGGGCCACAAGAATACACAAGATGGCCACGCATAGCCCCTGCCTATTGGCTTCAAAATCCCATGCAGAGAGAAGGTTACCGAAAGATCCAGTAGCGCCCAGAACTAAAGAAGAAAACGATAAGAAACTTCTACATCGAACGCAATGGCCCGTACACATTGAAACGGGATTGCGCAGCGCCATTCGTATTAGGCAAGAATTGGATGGACTCCGAACAGAAACACACAGACGGAAGCACACGAAAGGTGCCTGTCACGATCCAACTCGCAAAATCGAGCAACCGAATAAAATACATCGACGAGCACTCTTACGAATGAACTCTACCCGATACAATTCGACGACACAGTGCAACAAACCTCCGCCTGTTTGTATCCACCGGGATGTAAGTTTTACAACTCATTAAAATGACTAGCTTGACTTAGTTCCAATGGAGTGGGACTCCTATGAGTCTAGTTGGGCAACCCTAGCTCGGAATGGCCGCGTATCAGCACGATAGGGCAATTGATCTCGAAAGGCACCCCTGCACCTAAATTTTTGGTTGCATTAGATGCTACGCTTCTTTGATGAAGTTGGTCTTTGTGCCAATGGTGCAACGAATCATCTTTTCATAAACTGTCTAGGTTGGTATTGGTCAGTTTTCACTTGACTTCCATTTTATATTTCAAATAGTTCATTTAACTTCCAAGTTGTAGTTGGTTATTTGGACTCTTCAAATAGTTCTCTTAACTTCAATTTTATGTTTCATACAGTTAGTTTAACTTGCAGGTTGCAGTTGGTACATCTCTCGAAAGAGAGAAGACGGGATGCCAACGCCAGCCAGTACTAACTAACTGACTGACTACAAGTGTTGATAGAACTGGAGGTACCACTACGTATATTTGAAGAACATATAGTACTCCCTCAGTTCGGAATTATTTGTCACAAAAATGGATGTATCTACAACTAAAATACATCTAGATACATTCATTTCTTGGACGAGTAATTCCAAACAAAGGGAATACATGACAAGCATCAGTAGCAGCAGAAGAATTACCTCCTCAGACTCCGCAGCGCAGGCAATGAGACTCCGCAGCGCCGTCTTTGGTCCGCCTGGCATGTACATCTAGCGAAGGCAATTGGAAGTCAAGGATTGGATTGGCGACGGGTTAAATGGACGATTGGAAAGTGGGTGGATTAGACGGAAAGTGACCCACGCGCTCAGGTTAGGGGCGGACCAACCTGCATGGTTGGCCGGCACCCACCTGCTTCACTACAACCTCCTCACCAATACA